ATCCCAGTTTGGAGGAGCTGCTCCGGGTGTCCCAGCAGGATCCCAGTTTGGAGGAGCTGCTCCGGGTGTCCCAGTAATCCCAGTTTGGAGGAGCTGCTCCGGGTGTCCCAGCAGGATCCCAGTTTGGAGGAGCTGCTCCGGGTGTCCCAGCAGGATCCCAGTTTTCAGGAGCTGCTCTGGGTGTCCCAGTAAATCCCAGTTTGGAGGAGCTGGTCGGGGTGTCCCAGTAAATCCCAGTTGGCAGGAGCTGCTCCGGGTGTCCCAGTAAATGCCAGTTGGCAGGAGCTGCTCCGGGTGTCCCAGTAAACCCCAGTTGGCAGGAGCTGCTCCGGGTGTCCCAGCAGGATCCCAGTTGGCAGGAGCTGCTCCGGGTGTCCCAGTAAATCCCAGTTTGGAGGAGCTGCTCTGGGTGTCCCAGTAAATCCCAGTTTGCAGGAGCTGCTCCGGGTGTCCCAGTAAATCCCAGTTGGCAGGAGCTGCTCCGGGTGTCCCAGTAAACCCCAGTTGGCAGGAGCTGCTCCGGGTGTCCCAGTAAATCCCAGTTTGGAGGAGCTGCTCCGGGTGTCCCAGCAGGAGCCGAGGTGTGGAAGGCCTGTGGAGCTGGGCTGGGAACCTGGGCAGGCCTTGGGGGTTTGGGAGCTGAGATGGATGTGGGAAGGGGCCAGGAGGAAACCCGGCTGACGGGGAAACCCCAAATTTCCCCTCAGATGTGTCCCTAAAATCTGGCACCCCGATAGCACCCACGGGTGCTCGTGACCCTCGGGTGAACCCTCCCAGCGTGTGGGAGCCTAACCCTGAGCCAGGGCCACGCCAAGGGGTGCAGGTGACCCCCGACACCCGGAAAACCTTTTCTGGGGGGACAGCCCAGTTTTGTGGTGAGAAGGGAGCCCAGGTTTCCTTTGGGAAGGGCCTGGGGGATGCCAGCCCCAGGGATGCCAGCCCCAGGGATGCCAGCTCTCCGGGCATGCCATCCCCAGGGATGCCATCCCCAGGGATGCCAGCCCCAGGGATGCCAGCCCCAGGGATGCCAGCCCCAGGGATGCCAGC